AGAGATTACTGGTTAAATAACGCACAATAGTGACAGGGCTGCAAAGGGAGGCTGCCAATATGAAGTTAAGGTGAAATTGCGTCTTTTGGCAGCTAAGAAATTCTGACACACGCTTTAAAAAAAAAACTTCATAAATTAAGCTACCAGAGTTTTCTTAACTCAAACATTTAAGTTTTAGGCTCCTCTTGAATCTAGCAGTATATGAATCAAGACGTACCTTCGAAACACAAATTTAAGCCTTGGCACGCAAGTATTTCGAGTAAAGCTTTTAAATGCAGACTCAAAAGGACATCTCCCTGACTACAGACAAGACCTTCTTTAGAAGTACCTCCTATTTGCCAGCATTAGATAAGCCTATTGTCTAATCTATTCACTAAGAAAAAATCTCCTTCTCACTGGACTGCTCAAGTTTGCAGTGTGCTCTTTACTTGCCATTAATAATCACAAATACTATCCCTCAAAAGGTACACAGAGTAAATAAAATTAAGCTGAAGAAGGGGAGAGAAAATGAAAGTCTCTTGGTTTAATGCAACCACGATCTAAAGAGCCTGACGTGTGAAAGGTAAAGCTGAAAGCGCAAAAAGGAATAAAGCAATGTTCAAAATGTACAGGCTACCCGTAAGTAGAGATTTGGTCTCAAACGCTGGAATCAACTGCATTCTCAAAAGAAAAAGAATTTAAGAGAAAAACTGCATAGGGCCATCAGCAAAAGCTAATCTTAAAAACGAGCTGCTTTTCTGGAAGCCAGTAAGACTCCAGGACTAAAAAAACTGGGAACAGAGAGAATTATTCCAAAAAGGAAACAGAAAAGTTTTGGGGGACCACAACTGAGACAGTCTAAATCAGCAACAACTTTGGTTCATCATCTTTCACCTTAAGAGTCAACATCCAGATTTGATATCAGAAAAAGTAAGTTTTTTGCAGTTCTGTAGCCTCCATAACAGTGTATGCGGGAACCAACAGATCTGTCTTGATTTCATCTCCATACAGTACAAATAATATTTTATAGTAGGGGTAAGGGGGAAGAAAAGTAAACATAGCAGAATATAGGTGCCAGGAGAGATATGAAGAGGGAAGCAGAGCTTGTAGACCTGCAAGCTTGCTGCAATAAATCACGCGTGTTGGGATGTGAAAACATGTATTAATCATTTAAGTGTCATGCCTGAGAAACCAAAACAACACAAATCTCACCAGGCAGAGGGATCCAGCAGCAAGGCAATTAAACCTTGATACAAAAGCACTGGACTCCACAAGACCTTCAACAGGGCTGAGGGCTGCCCCAGAGCTCCAGGCACAACAATGGAGTTCATGAAAGCCTGAAGCAGAGACTTTAAAGAAAAATTTGCTCTGATAAAAGTATGAAATAGGTGGGCTCTTCTACAAAAGCTGTAGGGTTCATTTGTTTGTTTGTTTTTTAATCTGAAGGGGTAAAGAAACTATTTTGTACTCAAATCTAAACTAATGATTATCAGAGGAAAAGGTTAAGCCTGAAATAACTACATATTTCAGTTACCCTATGTATCTAGTGGATTCAATTCCATTCCAGACTGCAGAGAAATACAGATATCTCTAGTCAAAAGCAAAAATGAGGACAATGCATGGGCTAGGAGTTGAAACCAGTCCAGTTCAAAGAGAAACTAAGTACCGTGTAAGTAATTTTTTTTTTTACCAGTGTGATTATGATTTGACAGAACTTAAATTCAGCAAAACCCAGATACAGTGCTAAGAAAGGAAACTGAAGACCAGCAACAACAAAACCCAGCAAACCAGGCAATGCGAGTGAATCTGTAGATAAGAAAAACCCGTCACTGCCTCATATGTTCCTGCTCTCAACCTGCAAATGAAGGATAACCTGGAAATACTTTACTGACTACGGTTTGTGGCAGAGGGTCATATGACTCACCTACAGTATCCTGAAAACAAAAAATTCCTTCAAATCTTCATTTTAACAGCTGGTGGTTTTTATGCTTGTTTAAATATGTGTAATCAGATATTATCCACAAGACAGTGGGCATCTGTACTCTGCTATATATGTGCTCAACTGCAATGCCCGATTATAAAAGTCTAGCCAGTTTTCCCCTTGAGCTAGACTCCCTGTAAAGCCTCATTTCCATTTATATTATTAGGAAGTACTAAGAAGCATTGTTTAGAATCATTAGCCTTAAAAAAAAGTTAAAAATGAACAACTATTCATACAAATTTTGGAGGTGAGAAGGAAATGGGGCATAGACATTCATGGGGGGGGAAGGAGGGAATGTGATACTCCCAGAGAACTATGCTTAATATTTCTATATGTTTTGAAATATTATCCAGCAAAAAAATGTGTTTTGTCTTGCTAATGACTGTGTATCACCTATAGGAAAAAAAACCCTGGCTGTATGATGGCTAAACCTCTAAGGGGTAACCAAAGCTTCCATTATCAGTTCTTCAAAGCCAGCACACACCAGAAGGGAAGAACAAATACCTATGCTTTGAAAATGATTCCCATTTATTATGTCCCAGAGTCATCCCACCTCTGCTTCTTCAAGACTGAAGGAGACATCCACGACCTATACTCCTCCCACTCTACTGATGAGTACACACAAGCGCTACAGAAGTCACAGTTTAGGCATTTCAGCCCTTCATTTTCAGATTTGCTTAGGGGACCACATGTCATCTTAGGATTTTTACATCACAGTGATGGATACCACACAAATACTCATAGTAATACTTTCCTGATGAAAAAAGCTTTTCTTTATGCATCTTGCTAGGGGATAAGAAGAAAAGCAGGGAGAATCTTTTCGGCTGTGCCTGAAATTACTGACAGAATAAAACTGCACATGGGACCGAGCTTCCTTTTCTCAGGGCCTGTTTACTTCCACTGTTCTGTTGGCTGAGCTGAATTTTCATCAGGCAACACTTTTTACAGTGTTGCTCAAAGATGGTTCTTTTTCTACTCCTGTATTTGTTTTCCTTTGCCAAGACTCTCCTCCCAAAATAAGTGATTTAGACACTAGCTTAGAGTTCCCATGGATCAGCATTTATGTGCAAGGAATGAAAGATAACAAAGGCAAAGAGTGACACAGAAATAAGGGCTGGTAAGACCTGTGGCATGATGACGTCCCATAGGTTTTTCATCACCGTTACCCACTGAAGTAGAATTTTTGTCCCAAAGGTCTGATATATTGAGTTGTGCTACTTTGAGGCACTAACCCTGCTTGAAGCCTGCTCTTATAATTTTTAAATGGAGCAATAACAAAAAACTTGGTTTTGTTTTTCCATAAAAGGATGTGTGATCGCATACTGTCTTTAGAACCGATGTGGTGTTCTTCCTATGTTCTGCATACTGCAGGAAAAAATAAAAAAAGAAAAGACTTTAGAGCTTAGCAACATTCTAGGACCCTACTAAAACACAGCAGTAAGAACGCTGTTGGAATAGTAAAATCCTTTAAAAGCTGCAGAAATGGGTACATGAGAGAAGGCTGTATATGAGCAGTTTGCCTGCTGTTTTTCAACTCAAACCCATAAAGGCTTTGCTAGTTCTGCTGGTTTAACATGTAAGGAATTCAGATATAATATGAATAGCACTAGAAAGCTTTAACTCCACTGTAAAAGAAGGGCCAGTGCCACAATGTTTAGTGTCATTTCACATCAGATTTAAAAATTAGTTCAATCCTGGTTTTCAGTCTCCCCTAAAAGCCATATACTAGCCCAAAAATATTAAGGTTTGGCTATTGGTGCTTTGTAGTTTGTCATCTTACTAAGAATAACTAGTTTCCGTTAGGAACACTGGAAACATTCTTTCACCTCAATTTAGCATAATATGGGCCAGAAGAAATTATTTCTCAGACCAACCGAAGCAGTGAGGGAACCCATATCCATCACCAGAGCACCTGGAGGCAAAACCTGATGGGGTTACCTCAGACTGGATGATATTTTCAACACTTTGGAGCATCCAGGACATCTGCATGGGGCCAGGTATGACACAGGGACCACATAAGACCTCTGCAACTTTGGAGCAGTGAATAATTAACCTAGGCATCCTAGAACAGCACAGTGCTATGTTTGGGTGGGATGCAGGCACCCAAAGAATGAAGATGAGAATGTAGGACAAAATAAACGCTTAAGGTAAGAGGCTGCATGAGCGCACACAATTCAAAGACCATAAACTTAAAAAAAAAAAAAAAAGAGAATACAAAGCATCTGCAACACCTGCAGAAATACACTTGCTAGTGAATTGTGCCTTCCACATTTACTAAAGTTTATCTCAGTGGGTTTAAGGAGAATTAGTCAAGCCTCATGCTCAAACAACTGCTGCAAGATAAGCCCACGCTAGCTTTAGAAAACAGTCTGCTTTGATTTTCTGCACAGACAGTGGAAAGCAAGTCTGGATCCTCCAGAGTGAATCTGAGCAGAAGCACTCACGATTTCCCTGGAAGGTTACTATCACCTTCAGTTACTTGTTAACATAGCTTCCCATTTAGCAACAACACTCAAGAGGCAACAGCTGTTTTCATTAGAAGCAATTATATTCAACACAAATGGTGTCGATTATAATTCAGATTCTCATGCAGCTCACCTGAATTATACATTTAAAGCAATGGGAAGCCAGGTACTGACCAGACTAAGAGCTCTTCTGCTAAGGTTGTTACGCCTTTCTACTCTCCTGGACTATCATAATACAGAAGGTGCATCTGCCATCAATCCTTAAATACAGTCTGAAGAGAATGATTAATTCACCTCCCTCTAGAGAATAACATAGTTTTTCAAACTGTCTTCCCCCCATTCCATACACCTCTGAGAAATGTTGTGGGCCCATCATACAGAAGATATTATAAGAGCACAAGAAAATAGTAGAATACTGTAGACATTTACATGGCGTGTATTCTGGGAAAGTCACAGTCTTCGCCAAGCATGCTTACCTCTCGTGAAGAGGAGTTGCTCGTTTGTAAAAAAATCCTTACATCCAAATTTTTTTGCAGTATCCACCTCTTTCTTCTTAATTATAAAAAAATACTTACCATCTAACCATTAGTCCAAGCTCCATGAAGTTTTTCAGGTTAGGAAGAGTTTGCCTTAGATCTGGAGTACTCAGCCCATGTTGATATCTAAGCTACAAGAACAGAAAAAACTAAATTAGGACCGCTTTCCAATCCCAGATTCCAAGGAATATAACATTATGGTCAGTTAATTTACTAGGTTTTCAAAGAAAGTATAGAATAATCAAGCAGTTCCAAGAGATCTATTCCCCTTAAGGAAATGTTCCATTTAATACTCGTAACCTCATATTAGCAAAACCCACCCAAGAACAGGGACAAAATAATCAGTCAATCTGACTGTTAAATCTCATTACACTTTTTCCATTTCCTATCTGTAACAGGAGAGCGGCCTCACAGCTTAATAAAACTACAGCCATTAAGTGAAAAGACCAAATTTCAACACAATGTTCTATATTCACTGATTCAAAACATTTATTTGTATGCAAGCGCCGTCTGTCATCCTGAGTATATCAATGTATGCTGGAATCAGTAGTGGAATTATTAGAGTAATATCAACTAGTAAAAATACATACTGTCACACAACTGATCTAAATCTGTGTTCCTTATACAGTTTACATCAACATTTAAACTGCTGCTATTACTCTTATAATTAAACCCAGCATTCAAATAAAACACCATGTAGCTAAGAGAAAGGCTTCAAACACTGACTGACTTTAACCCAAGTATTAACTCCTATGTGGGTGCAACCGTAAATGAAAAGATTCAATATGCTGACTCCATGCAAACTGCAACTTGCTTTTACCCTCAGACTATCAAATGAAGTACACATGACTTAACTGTCACTGCTGGTAATTATGAACTACTTAATTAAGAAGTCCCCAAACTAAAAATACCTCTGAAGAAAACAGCACATGGAAGGGAAAAAGTCTTTCTTTCTTTCACATTTGAATCTCAAAACTTCAGGGAAACTTTGCAGGGAAATTTATCCCTTGTGTGGTTAAAACATGAAAAAAAAAAATCCCTAAATTCCAGTATCTTTAAAACTATCAGAATGAAGCAGTATCAACTTAATACGCAGTTCTCAGCAGATGTTAACACCCTCTAGAAGTCACAGCTGACCTCCAATATACACAAACAGTAACTGCACAAATTCAATACTGATAGAGCTACTTGCTGAAACATGGAACAATCCCACTCAAAGTTAAATTTGTTTTTTAGAATTCCACACCTGTTTCCATAATTCATGAAAGTAAGGTGTAGGCAAGCATCCTCCAAGTTAGAAAGTTTTCTGACTTCTCCCAAACAATGGGCCAATCAGTTTTTCACAGAAAAAGACTCTTGAAATTGGGAATGATTTCTATGCTGAATTTTAGTAAGAAAAATTGCTTTGGAAGAAAATAATCCTCAGTACTGCATTGTACAACAGGAGGCCATTTATTACACAGTTTATTATTTCCATATGGACACTTCCAAGTCATATGGTGGGCTTGGATTCATATTTTCTGCTACAGTGACAGAACCTGGATTAAGACAACCATACAATATAAATTACTAAACGATCACCACATTCTCCTGATGGGATTACTGTGGATTTGGTTAACCAAAGGACTAGCCTGGGGCAAAAGAAATAAAAAAGAAAAAAACCAAAGTAAAAACCCATTACATTTGTTCCTCCTACTATACTCAAATGTTCATAGAATACCCCTTTTTACAGTCATCCTTAAATTCTAAGGTTTCAGAGCATGAAAAGAATTGGATTAAGGGATTTCTTTATTTCCAACAGCCAGGATCAGAGGAATGCATGCAAGCCTCTTGTACCAAAACATGAGCAAAACCACTGTTTCTGCTAAACCCCATTTTCATATTGCAAATAGTAGAGATGAACAGTAAATAAAGTTAGGATGTCAGTTTTGTGAAACCTCTGGAAAAAAACATATGATTTAAATTTATAAACTGCATTCTATTTTGGCTTTGTAATAGCTTAAAAACAAAGCAATATTCTCTTATGTGTCTGTATCAATACAAGCAGATGATGACGTATTTACAAAACAAACCTACAAGTAAACCCAGAAGCTGCTGAAAAACTCATTTGCCTTCTAGTGACAGAAAAAAAAAAATAATTAAAAATCAGTTGAAGCATCAGAGCCATGAGTTACTTCCCAGTTTTAGCCTGGTTCCAAAATTACCTCCCAATTAATGCCACAAGGTTAACTCCTACTTCGCAGCGGTCTGCAGTAGTCTCATATACGTCCAAAAAAGAAATCTCTCTACCTCTACCAAGTCATAGAACCCACTACATGGATAGCACACAGCAAACAGGAATATTGAGGGGAGCAGGAAGGCAGGGGAAAAGATTTCTCTTTTAAGTAAAAGAGCAGAACTCCTCTTCCTCCTACTCTTACCCACTGATGACGCTGCATCATTAGTAAGGACTGGGTTTTTTTCGCCAAACCATAAAGCATTTCTCATACACCTTTCCTTAAGTTTAATATTTTTTAACAGACACCACCACCCATATAGGTATAGTTACTCCACCTCATCCAATAAATAGTAAGACACTGAACGACGATAATAACCATCATCTGTGACCTCTTACAGCAGATTCATACAAGTACCTTTGAACATCAAAAATCAATTTTAAAAAGAGAAAAATGTAGGGAGAGGACAGCTGCTTTGCTCATGAGATTTAAAAGGGTAGGACAACAAAAGCAGAAAGAGGTAGCCATGTGCTGTCTTGATTCTTTTAAGAAACTGAGTTCACATTTCAATTGTTGCTATTAAACATCACCCATTTCCACCCACCCCACACTAAGTTTCCAAAGGAACCAAGTATAATTTGCAAAAGCAGCATTTTATTTAAAGATTAGATTGTTTCTTCAGGATATTACAGACCCGGCCATCCAAAGAAAACGCGCCTGTTTTAATTTGAGTGAACAAGTGTCCAAGATTTGTGTACACATTTATGACCGTGTATTCTCCATGGGACTGTGAGTAAATCATTAATGATGTTCAAGTAATAAAATATTAATTGCCATTTCCTTACTAATATTTAGCTCCTATACACAGCTTTGTTTTCCCAAGTGCTGTGTGAAATGTTACTTGATTGAACAAAACCACGTAGTAAACACGAACTGGAAAACAAATAAGCGAAAGACCTCAGATGCTTCAGACAGGAGTCAGAATCTGCTCTCATACCAGTTACTAGCAACACTTACTCCACAGAAACAAGATGTAGCAGATGAGATGCATCATATTTTATGAACAGTTCAAGACAGAAGAACTTAAGGGTACTGACATTTAAGGAAAAAAAAAATCTCACTTTGTAATTTCCTTAACTTACACAGATTAATTCCTTTTACTCATCTCAGAGACAGAAAGTTTCAACATTTTACTGTCCTTTGTTACTTTGGAGTCTATGTTAACTGACATAATTCCAAGTTATTTAATTAGAGATGTAAAGAAGCAGCTAGTCAAATGTAACTTTAAAAAAAGCACATATTCATGTTTCCACAAGATTTTAGAAAACAACTCCAGATTCATTAAATTTGATTCCTTTCTCAGAAAACTTGTATTCCAAACCTCTGACACTGCAAATCCAGGGTAATAAACTTAAAAGAATTTCAGCATTATGAAAAGACCTTGAAAAGAGGATAGACAGTATTTGTAACTATCAGTAGGTAACTGCCTAGACTGCTTTTGTAAAATCCGAGGTTTTTGTTTGTCCTAAGACAATTTCAGGAAGTACCTGTACAGAAGAATCTGAAGAAAGAGGATATTAAATTTATATTAAGGCCAGCTCTACCTCTATAGAAGACCAGCCTATCATACCGTGGGTAGTTTATATTATACTTGCTATTTATTCCAACATCACAGAAAACCATAAATGTTGAAATAAGCTGCATTTAAAACAATGGTTCTCGGAGTGAAAGGTAGATTTATTCTTAAAACTTGTATTAGCTTTCTAATAAACTGTGTAAACACTTAATTTCCATCAAAGACTAAGAAAATGGTTCCAGCTAACACAACCACAGCATTAGCTGTAGCTGAGGCATGACAAACAAAGTTAATTTGTAACAAGGCAGGCATAATTGGTTTAGACTCTTGAGTAAGAGGGATGAAAAAAAAAAAATTCAGCTGCTCCAGTTTCTACCTGCATTTCCTTGTGTGCAACGGTTTGGACTTCTACTGGAAGGAAGCTGTCAGTCCTCAGCAGTGAATCAGCTCCACCCTGAGGATCTCTAAACCACTCCTGCTATCCAAGCATCTTCCAGGTAATTTATTTTGTCAACCAGACAAGCATACTTAATTAAAACCATGTCAGACAACATAAAAGGTTACCACCTTCCTAAAGGTAACAATTCCATGATAAAACATTCATTCACCAAATCATGACGAGTATAGCTATCTCATTTGTTAATGTATTAAAATACAAATCTACGAAGGTTCAGTTACTCTCTTATAAAGTAAGAGATAAGAAGTACTAGAACTATTAAAGTTTTTTAAAATAAGCTGGCTTAAAAAGAAACCATTTAGCTATCTTTCTATTTCCAGGTAATATCAGATTGCACCCATGATCAAAATTGGGGCTTTTGCCACTAAGGGACTGCCTCTTAAGAAAAATAACAATATCCTGCATTTACGTGCAAAGAAGAATAGACCATTTCCTATACTAATTCCTGTAACAGTATTTAATGACTAATGGTATACGAGCATTTACCTTTACTTCCAGCCAGAAACCACAGAGTACCTGGACTGGAATATCCTTTTTTGGGAGTGCAGAATGAACTCATCTGTTCATCATTTACCATATTGTTTCCCCAGCCATCTTGTTTTAAGACATGTGGAAGCTGTCTTCCAGCTCAGACTATGTTAATAAAGTTCAAAATACCAGCCCCTTCAGTACATGTTATGCATAATACTTGAGTCTACATCGAAATGTGCAGCATATTTGCTCTTCCCTTAGTCTCTACTGCAGGCAACTGGTCCTTGGTGTTGTACAGATACAGACAGTGCTACAAGAGGTGGACTCAACCCGCTACTACACTATGCAAGCTCATGTACTGCTAAAGCAGTCAAGAGCAATTTTGAATTATTTCAGTTCAATAAGGAGTTG